TAAGAAACATCTGATAACTATCTCGACATTATAAAGATTTCGCATGTGAAGTTTTAAAATTTTCTGATGCATAAAAAGTATTTTTAATCTTAAAATGAATATTACTTTGCATGATAGATAGATAAGATGTGAAAAGGAAAAAAAGACATGAGAAACATTGTTTTATAGACCTTAAAAATTAAAAAAACAATTTATATTTTGCATATGAAATCATTGTAATGTTTACTGATCATCTGCCATATTTTGTTAACATTTGCTTATTAATTTAAAAGTTATAGCATGAAAACTATAACAAGCACAAAGTGGTTTTGATGTTGGTCCCAGGGACCGAGCCCATGCTGAAATAGTTCATATAGACAATCAATTTATATGCTTTACAAACATGTTTTTTTCAGCAAAGTAATTGTAATACTGATCTGTCATAAGTTTTTACAGATAGGTCTTCCTGAATAAGAGGAAAATTACTTTAAGATACACAAAAACTGCCGTTATTGTTTTCTTTATGCAAAGCTATACAATGAGCTATATGCGCCGTGTGAACTGTAAGAAATCAAACTCTGGATTTTAGCACTATTAAGTTTGTAAACTTACTCCAGGGCACACTTAAAAACATATTATCGTAATAGTTCCAGTTGCTTAGCTTCTCCTATTGCTAATAAAGATAAGGCTAGTCTTGCATAAATTCACACTTCTTACATCCTTGTGGAGTCACTTGACTGGATTCATTTTGAAAAATTAGTTAACCTTCCAGATCCATTTTCCTTTTGTGGAAGCAAGCATTAAGATAAACAGAAAAACTCTCTAACGAACCAGACAACGACAGTAAGAACCAGGCAAAAAGGTTATAAACGATGGCTGCAATGAAATAAATTTAATTTCTATACACAAGTTTTATTTTAAAACCTTAATACATACTTGGTGTTGTTACTTGAAATATAGGTTATATAGGCTACCTGGTGGAATAATAGTACACTAAAGAAAAATTATGGCTGACTGAACTATGTATACCAAATCAACAAATAACCATACTGATGATGTCTGGAAACCTAGTAACTGACCATAACTAAATTATGACAGTTTATAAGCAAGCCAAGTTTAATCATATTCATTTCTGGACACCCCCACACGTGTACCAAATCTTGTAGACTCAACATGATATGGAGTAAGTAACATATACCTTTCCCCCTCCAAAAGAAGATTATTACAGATTTTGGACAGATCAAAATTCCAGTTCAAATGATACAAAACAGCTTAGTACCAATTTTTGTAGATCTAAACCTTCAATGACTGCTATATTAGATGTATATCAAAGTCCAAACTGTTTAAAAACATCTGTTTACCTGTTCAGTTTGAGTTTACATATTTTATACGTGAGTGTCATTAATCAACAGAGTGCAGTAAAAATAATTACAGCTCAAAACATTTTTTTTTAAATCTGAAGACTGAAGTTATGTAACTCAAAACCTTTGAAACAAACCAGCTGTCCATAACACAGAATGCAATCTCATCATTTCACAAATAATCCAAACATACTTCCCTGTCAGACTCACCTTAGATTCTTGCTCCTGTAGCAGTCTTGCTAGCTCCTGTACAAACCATGAGGAAATTATGGTTTAGTCAGAGTCAATGAAACCATAAAGAAAAATACCAGAATAATGCACTAATTAACAAAAAAAGAAAGAATTCCAACAGTCCTGGAACGTTTACTCTATGTAAAACACACGATACATTTTTTATTCTCTCGTTCTGGTCGTAAGGCATTTCAACAAGTTTTATTAATGCCAAGACACCACAGAGCTTAGTAACTTGTACTGTAAGTTGGTTTATGAAGCCTTTAATAAAATAAGACTAATTGTTCCTTAACTCAAAACCTCGGCGTCATATTTGAAGGATTATGTTTATCAATGCAACGTAAGATCAGTTACAAACATCATACGATCTCCATTCAGCACCTTAAATATCAAACTATGACATTTGATAAAACTCAAATATAATTAAAGGGTAGGATACAGAAATAAAATTTATTAGCTACAATGCAGATATAAATTGTTCACAAAACATACAAATTTGACAACTTTCCAATGCAGTATGATGCCTTACTTCATCTTGTTCTTCCTGAAACCTGCGAAGTTCTACTTCTGTAAGGTCTGGAGGGGGCTGGAGACAAAAGTCTGAAAAGTCGGTATCTCTCTCCATTCGAGGCACATCTCTGTCTTCAAGAGAGGAAGATCTAATGGCACCGCATAAATCATCCTCTAATCTTGAACCTAGGATACATCGCAAGTGGAGAAATGTTTCATATTAATTTAAGAAATTACCAAAAAAAATGTTGATGTGTCATAAAGATGCATGTCCTACAAGTTTCTGAAAAATGCTCTTCCTTCACCAGACAGGTGAATATTTTTCATATGTTGAGTGCACACCTGCATATTAACTTCATTAGTATTTTAGAATTGATATTTTGTCATTTTGTAACATTTATTTAATGTTACCTGTAAAGAACAAGAAAGAAAATTACAAACTTGAATTTATACATGGCTCCAAGAAGTCTTGCCTGTAAACAATGCACTTACCGATTCTGTACACTTTTTTTGCCCATCCCAATGTAGTTTCTCAGCAAATATTAACCTATCATCCCTTCAGAATTCAATTCTCAAGGTTTTGTTTCTAGTGTGATTTTCCTTACGTTTCTCTAATTTTAGCACTACAGTGTCTTATTTATAGATTCTTTTATTATCTGAAAAATCACTAATACAACTGCTTTGAAATCAAAGACTAGCTACGGATAAAGTTCAAAAACCACTGGACAGAGTTGAATATAAACTATTCACATCAAGGTATATTGAATATAATGGTGCAACAACTAATTTGTGGAAAAAGTAATCAGGTGTAACTCTTGAAAAGAACAACAATGGAATGTAGTGGGAAATTTAAAAAAAACAAACCACAACTCTGGAAATACTTTTATAGTTTCTTTAAATATTCTTTCCAATACTGAAAATGTTTCTATGTTAAATTATATTTGTTAGAAAACTATGGAAATATTTTTCTATGACAAGACACTAAGTTGTTGTTTTTGTTTCGAATTTCGCGCAAAGCTACACGAGGGCTATCTGTGCTAGCCGTCCCTAATTTAGCAGTATAAGACTAGAGGGAAGGCAACTAGTCATCACCACCCACTGCCAACTCTTGGGCTACTCTTTTACCAACGATTAGTGGGATTGACCGTCACATTATAACGCCCCCACGGCTGAACGGGCGAGCATGTTTGATGTGACGGGGATTCAAACACGCGACCCGCAGATTGCGAGCTGAGCGCCCTAACCACCTGGCCATGCCGGGCCTAAGACACTAAGTAAGCCTAATTAGGTTTAGAGAGTATGGAAGGCATTGGCCAAATATTTCACGGATTCAAATACTGCTATCTAGCATTGCTTGATGCTGTTGTAACAGGTTATGTTGTAGGATACTGATAAATCTATCACTTTGTGTAATTCTTTTTTTTGTTACTTACAGCTGGATTGGCAAAATAAAGTAATAAAAAGAAATATGTTAAAGAATATCAGTTCAGCTGACAGTG